TTGTCTACCCGACCCGACTTTTCAGGTCGGGTCGGGTCGGGTCACAGGTTGACCTGACCTGATTCGGAGCTCTAGTCCACTTATATGCTAGCTTGAATGTTGAGTTATTAAGCCCAAAATTCTGGCCAAAATTATAGAATAGTGTTAGCTAAAATTAAGCGAATAAATCTTACACAAAGACTATATCATAGCCAAACATATATTTACTTGTTTTCCTTTATGATTTGCTTATTAGCTTGTTATACGCCTCTTTTTTCAAAGAATGAAAAAATAAATGCGCCAATAAAAATACCTATGCTTAAGCATATACTAGTGATAGAGTAGGCTTCTACTAATATTTATATAATAGATTATGCAGAAAGCTACCCAAAATACATATATCTGATTACATACTAGTGATAGGTAGGTAAGTGCTAATATTTATATAATAGATTACGCACTTACCTACCCTTATATTTGCCTATTTAGAACGTCTTATTTTCATTATTTTACATCTTGTTATGTATTTTTTTGCATTCCTTTTTTGGTATATCTCTATATTACATAAAGGTTATATTATACCTGAATACATATCTAGAAAAGTGAAGCCTTTTGCCATTATATATAATATAATTTTGCAGAAGGCTTCATTTTTCAGATACAGCTGGATGTCTTTTTTCTACGATTTACTTATTAAATTTGTCATAGCTTCTTTTTCACATCTATCAAAAAAATATTTTAAACATTTCCAAAATATATTGAGATAATATAACTTTTTTTACTGACATCATGCATATCCCAACTATTTTCGACCAAACTGATTGCATTGGATCTGACCTAACGCTTGCACACTATGATAATACTGAGTCCTTAATCAGTATTCTATCGTATAATGAGATCATAGCAGAATATGATAACAGGATGACTGCTATACTTCAGCAATGCTTATCTGAAAAGCAACCCATATATTTTATGCCTACAGATATGAGTGATGAAGCTAAATATATAAATGGAGTGTCTACCTATATTTATGTATTAGTGATATTTTAATCAATAGGAAAAAGACAATCATAGATATTATAGACATCAAACCCTTCTTTGATGTTGAAGTGCCAGAAAACTATTTCTCATCTGATTCTAGAGGGACTCCTTTATTTACGATTATATTAGCACGTATTTTATTCGCTACTCTCAAAAACACATCAAAGTTTGGGTTTGAGGATATTTGTGTTTTTCTACTTCAAAGATATTATATAGAAAAGAAAGCATATATCTGTGTGAGAACATGGAACTACTTTGATTGGAATAATACATTAAAAGCAGTTCACGAAGTTGGTATTCATACTGCTTCTGATGATCTAACTCCCAAATATTATCATCATAAAGTAGCCTGTGAAGAAAGATTACCTCTTTCAAGTTGTGCAGTATTTCACAATTATTCATATATACCCTTAATAAATGCTTATCTCTTCCAAATATCCATGGATAATTACAAACCAATAAGCGATAATGAGTATAATAATCAATTAACTTCCTCAGCACTTTTAAGAGATCGTATCCTTATTCTTATATTATATATAGAAATATACAGTTCACAAAGAACTGGCGAGATATCCAATGCAAAATATGATAATGTTGTTGTATTCATGATTTGTATGACAGTTCATTGAAAAGATGATCCTAAAACAAATTTGTCTTGTCAATATTGAAACTGCATCAGACCCACGATGAATTACAGTTGTATGTAAAGATCAAACTAATTTACTGAAAGCATTTGCACTATATTGGAAACTTTTAGCCCTGGATATACAAATAGGCTTTAATGATTCGCAATATGTCTGGTCATTTATTGTGAAAAAAACTAAAAAATTAGGGGTACTTGAATAGATGTTCAATTATATGTCATTCAAACTGAAGCTAACTTGCCTAGAAAAAATTACAAAATGGCAATATCAATATAACATGATAAAAGTAAATAATGGGAACTTCTATTTGAGACATCTTAAATTACTGGATGCGTGGCTATTGATATTTAAACCTATTTTAAGAAATTCTACCCTAAAGCTGAAAATGTAGTCTCCATATTACTTAAGAGAGTATAATCTTGACAACAAAGTGGATTTACCTATTTATCGCATGAACAAATATTATGAAAGGGCATTAAAAGAAACCATTGCTACAACGGCTGAGCAGATACGTGAAGTGGCCAAATACTGCATTATCAATACTCTTAGCTATCAATAGTTAATGGTCAAGCATAATGCAATTAACAAGTACAGAAAGGTGGCATTTGTAATCTTCATATGCTTATATGATTCACATTATTTTGCAATAGGAATGAAAGTGCGTAATCTTTTAAGTGTCAGTGTATAGCAGGAAGAAATTTTAACTAGTACAATTCCATGTGAATAAACATAAACAGGAAAATACCCTGGAGCCTATATTTTTCTGCCAGTAAAGGGTCTCAAAAATAGACATTCTATAACTAGCTTAGACTTTGCATCATTGTATCTGAGTCTTATCATAACATACAATCTCTCACTTGATAAAATTATTTTATCTCGAAAGCATGCCAAATCTCTAAAAAAAAGTGGTAAAAAGCTTTATGAAATAAATTTTAAATTCAATAATCAGAATATTCTCGCATAATCTATAGAATATAAAAACTAAGCCAAAATGAAAGGCCTTTATTCAAACTTATTGAAGGTTTGCTAATTAGACGAAATTCACTAAAAAACGTCTTGCTCTATTAAAGGATAAAAAGGAAAAATTAGAAAAGGAGATGAGTATAGCAGAAGCAAGTGGTGAGGTCATTACAGATGCTTTAAATTCTAAATATTCTTCAGTTTTCTTTAATGTCACTTGTCTAAACGTCCAATAACTTGCTTTAAAAGTGTATATGAATTCATTTTACGGTAAAGCAAAAAATAGTGGCTCTCTTTTTCTTGCGAGAATTAGCAGGTGGTGTGATATCAGCTAGTTAGCGGAATATCAAGCTTATAGCCAACCTTATTAGAAGTAAAAGTTTTGGTGTAAAATATGAGGATACTGATTCATTATACCTTATTTGTTCAGAAGAATATTTCCGAAAGTATGATGAGAAATGTATTTCAGAAAGATATCGAAGGAAAAGTACTAGGAGGAGATAGTAAAAATATCTATGAAGGTAATGAACGAGTTTTGAAACGATATTAATAACTTTCTCAGGAAAGATAATGGATCAACTTATCTTAATATGACATATAAGAAAGTCTTATTTCCGGTAGTATTTACTGGAAAAAAAAATACTACAGCATTCCGCCAAACTTTAATAATAAGCTTTTCATCTGAGAGTTAAGACTGTAAAGCAAGAACAGTCTAGTGTTTTCCGCAAAATAGGAAAACATATTATAGAAGAATCTACGAGGGTAAACAATACACATACCTTGCATCGGATTGTAGAAAATGTGCTCAAAGAGACTGTAAGAGATATTTTGCAGACAGATCTTAATGAAATAATAAAAACCGCTGTGTAGAGGCCTGATAAAAATAACAAGATTTTATAACACTTCATTTTATGAATACGAGATAGATATATCTGTTAAGAGGCAAATGCCAAACAGCTCATAAAAAAGGACTCAGCACCTGAGCCTTATCTTTATGAAATCTCAAAATCAGGTGAGCAGTTTGAATATGTTGTAGTTGAGAATGATTCATCATAGAAAGTAAGTGATAAAATGGAATACCCAGAAGTGACAATACGTCTTAATAAAAGATTGATATTAACTATTATCTGAAAAGTGTTATCGGGCTCTATATGCGATTTATAAACTATGATGATAGACACCAACCATCATCTGAAATTGTGTTAGAAGGCTTAAAAAAGTTAAAAGATGGTAATAAAGCAGATAACGGTAGGGTGAATGAAGGTGGTGATCTGGACGAAGATGAAGAGAATGAAGAAAAAATAGATGAAAATGAGGTATCAAAAATAAAAGATGCCTTAACGCAGAAATCAGCTAAAAAGTGGGTTAAAGACTATATCAAAAACCTTCATGAAGGCCTGAAAAAAGATGAAGCCATCATATTTTATTTATAGAGAGAAGCTCACATTTACGTGAAAACTTTATTTGATACTATAGAATAGTAAAATGCTCAGAAAATAATGCTTATTACTAGGGTTCCTTAAAATCAAATCAAATCAAATCAAATATAAAAAAATTTTTAATTTTTACAATGATATATTAAAATAAAGTTATTATAAA